TTAACTTAGGTTAGGTTGATAGGAGGATGTATCTAAATCAAATCCGAAGAAATACACCTAGGCCTCTATCGGGCCTGTTGTGCGCTCATTTTAAAATTAACTTAATCGATCTTTCTTTGTTTTTTTTTTTTTTTTAGCAGAATTGTATTAATAAATTTATATCGTTCAACACAATATTGAGAAAAACGCAAAAAACATTTACTTAAAGTTTTCCCAAAACATAATTGACCAAATGTTTTTTGGAGCATATAATACAAGTCCCTTAGTCCTCGCCCGATTAGGGAAAAACATACATATCTATCCATTTAAAATCCACCACAAATAATTTCTATATACAACATAAAGTCTCACTGTGAAGTTTACTTACGATCGGTCCAAAATTCGTCAGCTGACATGTTTATGTAAATTACTCTAACGCCAAAATTACCCCACAAATCTTGATTGATCATTCCGAATCGGAATGAGGATCTCCATATCGTATTTCTAGGGGTCAAACCTATAATATACTGATGATATATACTAATAAAACATATAGAAAGTTAAATAAAATCAACCTCAATTTATATGCTGGTAATAGTAATACTTAAAGATTTATGAAGTTTTTTCCTGAACAGATAGAAAATCATTCGGAATTATTTATTTTGTTGCAAAAAGGTTGTTTCTGTCTGTCAGTATAAAGATCCTTTCAAACTAACAATTTTTTATCAATTATTTCGTTATATTGATGTAGATTTATTGATCTCTGAAAAATACTTATTCGACTCTAAAAATTCTTTATAAAGAATAAAAGATTATCGGATAATGCCTCTTATGTAGACTTTTCTACCTAAAAGTTCTAATAGAAGACGTCAAATGCAATGAAATCAATGCAAGTCTTTCATATAAGCGATGTTTATTTTTAATTTCTATAAATAGCTTTAAACTTATATTAATAGAAGTAATTTTTACAATATTTTAAGGAAGTGAATTTGCTGTTGTTTCAAAAAAGGGAAGAAGTGAAATGATAATATCACCCAAAAATGGGGGAATGAATAATGGTTGAAAAATATGTTTGTTTTTTACCTTTGATATTATTCTGACGGTTAAAATAATGTTTGTATGAAAAATTTTTAAGCTTAATACGCGTTTTAAATACGTTTAAGTTTTTTATACAATTAGTCTGCATAACTCGTTCCTTTTGAAGAGTAATGTTTAATTCAGGCTACATCGAAATTAAGGGGGTTATTTTGTAACTACATTTTCCTCACTTGATTTAATTTTTCATGAAAAATATCAGTGCAATGGAAAAATAATGTACTATAGCTCGAAATTAATTGTCTACAGAAATGTAAAGCCGTAGGAGTCTACATAAGAGAGATATTTGTAAAAAAAAACTTATTTTGAGTAACCTTTGACCACCAATATCTCGCTTAGGGTACAAGGTGAGATCCTGTGCGAACTTTAATTTAGCTATAAATAATTTCCCTACTTTGTCTGGGCTATAAATTGTTTTTGTATTTTTAAAAATGTTCGTGAATATATTTTCTTTCAACTATCTAATAGCATTTAGTTCAAAGGTCATTCTCACCTTATTTAAAGCTTAAGCACCCTTAATATTAATGATGGAAAAACTGAATTAGGAAATCTTTCAAAATTTAGAATAACACGTGTGAATTTTTTAAACATTTTCTTAAATTAGAAAAAAACATGGTTTTTTGTTATGAGTTCATAATTAATTATTAAAATATTTTAGAATGACCTTTGACCTAAAGAATAAATAAATTGTTTTAAAGGAACAAGTTTAATTTGGTTACAATATTCCAATAAATTCAGGATGATAGCTCAGGGTAAATAGGAAAGTGCAATAAAAACATTAGAAAAGTACTTTATTACTTGGAAATTTCAAGGTGACATTTTAGAGAAATGTCATCAATTAATGGTGAAAGGGTTTAGTTAAAAAAACAGCAACAAATTATTATGCTCAGTTTTAACAAATTCCGAACTGATGTGAACAAATTTATTCCAATGGAAAAAAGATTGAAGGACAGACAGAGTTAATGTACCATTACAAACATAAATTTTAATTGCTAAATATGCGTGAAGAGAAGTTTTCCTTTTTAACACTTTTTGGTTGGCTGGGATACATGTATATTTTTCATGTATAAAGCAATAAGCTTATGAATGTACGAGTTAGTACATTCATATGTTTGTTTGTATGTATGTTTTTAGTTGTGTGGTAATACCTCCTAAGCAAGCAGACAAGCAAGTAAGCAAAGCAAAGCGAAGCAAGTAAGCAGCAGCAACAACTTTTCGAAAGTTTGTCATTAAGAAGTGTATGATCGATCTACTACTTTTTAGTAACGCAGAGATTAAATAAAGTCTGCCTTTCACAAAAAGCTCTAAATCGTTGTTTGTCCGACGTCGTCGTCGTAGTCGTCGTAATAGTTATTTAGTTGTATTCATCGGTACCGATGTGACCGACATCGTAGTCTGCTATAACAACAACAACAACATAACAAATGTTCGTAAATAACAAACAAACATAAGTGTGTAAGTATGGGAGATGTGATTGCATTAATACAATAAAAAAAAACCAACAAAAAAACATTTCGTAAGTTTCATTTTTTGTTGTTGCTTTTTGTGAAACTTTGAAAAGTGGTAATATTTATCGCAAGCATTTGTTGTTGTATGTATTTCTTGTTTTTATTTCTGTTGTTTTTTATAGTTATTGTTGTTGTTGGTTTTTTTTGTTTTTGTCTTACTTTTTCGTATAAAACTTCTGTGAAGACCAACCAGAAAAAATAAAGTAAAATAAAACAAAGAAACTATTTATGTTAAATATACGCAGAAATGAGAAAAAATTCAAATTAAAAGAAGAAACTTGAAGTGAAGGTCGTATATATGTATCTATGTCTATATATTTATATGTTTGTGTGTGTGTATATGTAATAAATGTGTATATTTGTTGAATACAATTCATGTAAATATGTATGTACGTGTTTTAGTTTTTATTATGTTTTTCCTATGTATGCGTGCGTGTATGATGAAGAAAGATGTAATAATAATAATAAATACATACATGTATACCCGACCTACATAAAAGAAAATTATTCACTTTAATACTGAACTGAACTAACTTAACTCAACTCAACTTAACTAAACTTACTCTATCTACTACGACTGCGATTACTACTTACCTCTTTCATTTACAATGGTTTTTGTTGTTGCTGCTGCCCAAAACGCAAAAAAGAGTAATATTCCTTGAAAAATTGTTGCTGTTGTTGTTTCACTTGTTTTTTTTTTTGTAGGTATTTTGTAACTTTTTTTATTATATCTATTTTAATTATAATTAATATCTTTTTGTACACTTTCTTAATTTCTTGTTGGCTTTTTTATTGTAATTTTTTTCTATGTGTATGTATGTATGTATTTTTTGTTATTGTGCAAACGTTCACACTGATCGGTCACACTTTTACATTAAATGTTCCTTTATTTATTAATTCCATTTAGATTGATCACATACAGATCGTTTAGGTATAATATATTTTTGTAATTTAATTTTTATTTTATTATTTCTTTTGTTTTGCTTTCAATATTTTTTCTTTCTTTCTTATAATTATTGCTGCATACCACTAATTTGTATGTGTCCTCAAATCACTTTTATTGTTTTATTGTGAAACAACATGGGGGGAGCGCAATAAATTCCACTCACTTTAATGAACAAGACAAGACAAACAAAAAACACAACAAATAAAAAAGAAAAATCAAGAAATAACACTTTCCAACACCCAACAGGTTTTCCGATCTGCTTGCTTAAATATCACTTTTCTTACTGTGCCGAAACTTTTAAGTAAACACATTTCGTGGTCTAAAACACAACTGCAGTAAAACTTCATACTTAGCTTTTATTTTTCAGTTCAGTTCAGTCAGTTAGTTTGGTTGGTTTCATATTTTGCTGCTGTTGTTGTTGTTATTGTGTTCACCATCTCTTTTTTCAATGCAATTGTACTAGATACGTTTTATTTTCTCCTTCTTTCAATGTGATCTTTTCCAACCTAAAACACACACTCTATGTTTGTGTGTTTTGTATGGAGAATTTAAATGTTGTTATTGTTGTTGTTGGTTTTCCTCCATCGTTATTGTTTCAACTTTCGTGTGAAGAGCCATATGATTGTATATTTATTACTCTCCAAAAGCTACGGTGAATGGTGCTCTAGTGCTCTCACTTTTTTGCTTTTTTCCAATTCTTTCGAATATGTGTGTGTGTGTGGTTATTTCTTTTAAAGTTCACTTTGGCGACGACGAAGAGCTTTTCTCAATTTCTCATTTTAATGATGGTGATGATGGTGAATCATAATCACCATTCTCTACTATGGCAGTAACGAACGAACAAACATAACAACACGAATGTTTTTGTATGCGAATGAGTGTGTGCATGTTTATTCGATGGATAATATACAAACTTACAATTTTTAGTTTATGAATTTAATAGAGTAGCAGCCGCAACAGACAGTGTTTACAATTAGCTTGCGAAAAAGAAATGACAAATAAAATATCTCTACCAGGAATAGGTACATACATATTTACTGTTATTATAGGGAAGCTTCTTTCTAGTGATGCAAAAGTTTCTTTTAATCACTCTCTTTTTGAATAATAATCTTTCACGAATATTTGTTTACATGTTTTATATGTATGTAGATCTTTTATGGAGACTTGGGTACGATTTTCAGCATTCGTGACAGAGTAAAATAGATTTTAAATTTCTTTTGGGGGATTAAGGTTATCTATATCGAACAAGAAACTCGGGGACCGCTTCACCCTATTCGTGATCGAATGAGTTTTCGAAAATTAAAGTAAAATCTATCTATTAAAGTAAATTTATCTATCGAACAAGTCTGTTAAATAGTGTAAGTTCCAGGCTATGAACTTGTCTATCGACTAGGCTATAGTCTGGTATTTATTAAGTTTGAAATTCAGTCCATCTTTGATCGGCATTATTCCAAAATAAAACACAATAATTGACAATGTTTTAGAAGTGAAGTTAAAATTTCATTTATTAAAAGCAAACCAAATACAAATCTTAAATTTAAGAAATACTTCCTTATGTACCTTCCAAATACTTCTCGTAGAAAATCATTTCCTTTTTCGACAAATTGTAGGGATAATTCATGCTGGTAGGAACAAAGATATCACCTATCATGTCGCTATAATTATAATTTGTTTTTATAAATATTAAAAAATATTTTATCTATTATAAAAAAAACTTACTTATAACCACCTTCTCTATAGCCCACTGTAAAACCATTTGGTAAATTCTTTATTGTTTTGCCTCTTTCACACCATTTTGGTGATTTTTGAAATGCATAAAATGGAAAATCAAATGCATTTATATAAATACGTGGACATAGTCCATGACTACTAAAATAGGGTTGACTTAATATAGCCGGCTGTGTGTAACCACATTGACCTAAACGTATATTTTGATGACAACTATGAAAATGTGAACCCTTATCGAGACTGGTATAATAACATTGAATATTTTCGGCCGCCTCACTGTGATTTAAATAGCTGAGAAAGTCAAAACCGGGACCAGCCATATCACAAACTAGAATTTGAAAAATATTTTAAAATGTAAATGTTTGAAATCTGTTTAATAAATGTTTAAAAGTTTCAATTAAAATTAAAATGTTCACTTAAAATTAAAATTTTTACTTAAAATACAGTATGAATTTGAAATTTAAATATTTCACTTAAAATTTTTACATCTTCGCTAAAAAATCTCATTTCGATTAAAAATTTTAAACAAAAATTTTTAAAATTCACATTTTTTATAAAAATTCGCAATTTAACTAAAATTCATATTTCGCTGAAATTCTCATTTTCACATAAAATTCATTCTAATTCTTACTAAAAATTCTCATTTTCACTTCTAAATCGCTATTTCACCAAAAAGTCGTATTTCACTTCTAATTCATATTTTTGCTAAAAATTTTAATTGTCACAAAAAATTCACATTTTCACTAAAAATTCACATATTCACTAAAAATTCACATTTTCACTAAAAATTCACATTTTCACAAAAAATTCACATTCATAAATTCATATTTTTACTAAAATTTACTTTTTCACTAAAATTCTCATTTTCACTAAAAATTCACATTTCACTTAAATTTTTACTAAAAGTGCCAAAATTTACATTTTCACAAAAATTACAATTTCACACATTTTCACTAAAACTCATATTTTCACCAAAAATTAAAAATTTTTACTAATATGTAGTTAATTTATTGGAATGTCACTAAAAATAAATATTTTTCATTAAAAATTGAATTTTTATCCAAAAATTCATTTGTTTCAGAAACCTACTATCAATTTTTTTAATATTATATTGAGGTTTCAACATTCGTCCAATTTTCGAAGCTACTTGTCCGCCATAACTGAAACCAAACATGAACATTTTGCTCGGATTAAAACCGTTTTGTATTAACTGTAAGACTTCTTCATATAAAATCTCACTTATAGGATCGAATTTCTGCAACAATTCTATATAGGATTTCTTAGACCAGGAACTATAATCCACACAAACAATACAGCCACCACGATGAAATGTTAAACCTAGAAAAATATACATAAAAAACAAAATATCGTTCTTTAAAACTTTTGTTATTTTTTTTTTTTTTTTTGTTTAAATTTGTTTCATTTTAACAACTAGCGAATAATAAGTTAAAAGCAAGAGAGTGAGAGTTAAAATTTTTTTGTATTATAAAAACCTTCAAAGAATAAAAGAAATTTACTTTTGTATTATTACTTTTTTATGTTTACGAAACTGGTCGTCCCTGACCACTCTATAGCAGGCTTGACAGATTGTATTATTTAACATAAAGAATATTTTAAATTATGGAAATTTTATTTCAAAAACTTTTTATTAAAAAACAAAATTATGTTGATTTTAAATGGATGAAACTTACGTTCTATTAATTGAGGCACCCATTCGGTATAACAACTTTCGGTCCAGCCATGGAAAATAAAAGAAATCTTTTCATTAACACATGATTTTATAACATTTGCATATGAGGCATATGCAGCTGGAAGGCTGGGAGTATTCTTTAATAACACTTTACCATTTCTAAAAATATTAAATGAAAGTTATAAGTAACAAGTACTAGAAGGGCCCTAGTTAGGCATTTGGGTGGTAACCTACTTGTAGTAGATAAAATGTAAGTTTTTCTGCACACCATGTTTAGTGTTTTGATAATTTTGTTTTATAGCATTTAAATTTCTAAAACTTCTGGCCGTTAAATAACGGCTTTTAAAAGGAATTATACCAATAAAGTTTTTACTTTCGAGCGTTTGATTTTGAATGTCAAAGTTCATAAGCTCAGCTGAACTAGTTGTAATATAAAAACCCGACCATAGTATCACACATATTGTTGTGTAAATAAACAACAAAATAAAATTGTTAATACAATTCTTATTAAAGATTTTTAAAAGACACATAACACAAAGTACAAGGTTAAACAGGGGGGTTTGTGTTAATGTTGTTTTCAACTGCTTATGGTAACATCTCAGAATGAACTAAAACATCATCATAGAGAAAGGTAAAAGAATTATGAAATAATTTTCACATAGAGGTATAACCAACAGCTGCCAATACAAATCTTTCAACTTAGTTTTAGGAAGAGAAAGTAACTGATTTGTTGTGATTCCTGTTTTTAAAAAAAAAACTAAAAATACTCAAAGAAAAATGCTAAATTCCAAGAGTAACAAATAAATAAACAGTTTCAGCTAAAGAAAACATTAATCAACAACTCATTAAGTGTTCGAAATTCTGTTTATATTCTTCGTTGTATTATTATTATTGTTATTATTTTATTTTTTGGGGAATTTACCATCATTTATAGATTGTCATTGAAAAGTTAGTGCTCAACAGAATGTGAATGTATGAGAGACATACCAACTTATTGATATATACATATATATATGTTTGTGTGTAGGTATATATTTAGTAAATAATACAAATAGTAAATATGTATATCCGTTTGTTTTTGTAGTTGTTAGTACTCTTTACTTTTTAGCAATCAAACAAAAGTTATGTTGTTTTATGCTACTTTACTATAACTATACATATGTAGGTATATGTATATGTATGTATGTATATACGAGTATTATTATAGAGTAGTATAACTAAAGTGAAGGTGGTCAAAACTTGTTTTGTTTCATCACTTAAGAAAAAAAAAGCTTTTTTTCGTGAAGAAAAATTTAGCTAACACTAGACAAAAAAATAAAAATATAAAAATTGTAGAGAGGTAACAGCAAAACAATGCAACGATTTTAAGATTTAAAAAAACCTAGTTACTACACAATACATACGAAACTCCATGTAATGTACAAATAGGGGTTTTCTTATGGTTAAGCTTGGCTTAATTTTTTTCAAACATCTTTTCCCTCATTCATGGCAAATACTTAATTAATTTCTGTTTAAAACGTTTGAAAATTTTATTGAATTCAAAAAAAGTTAAAACTAAAATTATGTTTTTATATTTTTTTCTCCTTCTTAAAGCCATGGATGCCATGCCGGATCCATGCGACATAAATTATCATGATTTGTTGCCTGCTGCAACAAAATAGAAATTTTCTTTGATTCGATATTATCGAAATACGAGATTGTTGTTAAACGATTCAGTATTGCATTTACGGCCTTATTAACCAAAGTTATCATATTTTCCGTTATATTCGCATCAGTCACACCATCTTCCATGGCATCGATAGGTTTATTGTCACGCATGCGTTTTTTGTGCAAAGCAATGATTTCATCTCGTAAAATCGTTCTTAAAATGGATGAAAGCTTATAGTTGGGATGTACAAAACAGCGTGCTGTTGCTATAATGGCTGCAGACAAGGGTCCTGAAATGCCTATGTTAGTTAGAAATTCGGCAATGTTCGGTGTTAGGCGGAATGGTACCGGTCGACTATGATCTAGTTCCTCTTTTTCGTCATTAATATCAAATTTAAAGTAGGAAACATTCATCAAACCCGAATCTTGGTGTATGTAAATCATGTCAGTATTAAGGCGGGTCAAGTGTAAAGCATATTCACATAAGAAAGCCAAAGCCATTTGCAGGGTCATCTGTAAAGCAAAAGTATAATAAATTACAAAATCTAATATCTAAATCAAATATGTTTAATCTATGTACCATCTTCCGGAATTGCCAAAAATCTGTGGCTGAAACAAACGTTTTAACGGCCCACTGTTTAAACAAAGTCTTGGGCACCATTTTAGTTTGTATCTCCTGGAATATGTCGCGCAGCATGGCGTGTGTTATTTGTGCTCCCTGTGATTGTACTTCTGACAAACGTTCATAATACTTCATAATGGGCAAATCATGTTCCACATCCATTTTGGCGCAAGTGCTTTTGTATATTTCATATAGAGAAATGCTGGCGGGATTGTCTTCGGCTAAACGCATTTGTGGTGAGATGGGTACCACACGTGGCACGGTAATATTAAGGAAACGCCTTGTGGTCTCCTTTTGTTTTTCCAAATAATAGTTCAGCATGCGCAAGAGCTGTAAAACTCTTTCTTCTCGACGTGCATCTCCTAGACCAGTGTCGATAACTACCAAATAGGGATATATTTTACCGTTGGTGCCTCGTATATGTAAACGTCTAGCGGCAGTATTATTTTTTTGTACAATTTCTACTCTGGGCATAAAACGCGAAATACGTATGTGATAATGGGAGGAGGAAGGTATGAGAAATTCGCCTGGCAACTCGACCTCAGCAGTTTTTTGACTAAAGTTGGACAAAAATCTGCATTTGTCTTCGATTAAGAAAGAGGTCGGCAGCTTTTTGACCTTAATTTCCAGAGCCTTTATCCAGGACTTGAGTTTTGTAATTAAATTGTGCAATTTCATTGAGTCTGGTTTTGTGAAATCAAAATCACGTGTAAACTGTTCTTTCATCATTTGGAAAGCGGGATCTTGGAAAGTAACTTGGGCTCTTCGAGCCAAAGACTCGGACGCTGCCGAATTGGATGTTGAAGAGGCCACTGTACCAGGTATATTTTCAATGCCTATGCCAAATGTGGAACCCAGTTTTTTAACAAAATGCAAAGTGTGAGGCGTTATAGTGGCCTCGCTCACCGTACTTCTTGTCTCAAAGGCAATGGCATAACATTTGATTAAACCTTGCCGTAATTGACGTAATACTTCTTCAGTCCAGCTCTCTCTAAACCAAACCATTTGATCAACAATACCCTCTAAAGAGCTCAAGATTGTGGGATGAATTTCCCTTTGTACATGCATAACTTTGGAACACCGCCACATGGGAGGAGTAGCCTTAATGGGATTGAGAGGTGTAGGTCCTGAAGTCGATGATGAGCTGGTATTGGTGAATACTTGATTCATATTTTCCAAATTTTGCTAGAAAAAGTTAAATTGTTTTTGATATAGCAATGAAAATGGAAGAGAAATCTTCTACTTACATGATTTTGTGGTCTGCCTGAAGCCTGCTCAGCAGTCTTATGTTTTTCTCGTTGCTCAATTTTTAAAGTTAAATACAGCGTGCGTATAGGGAAGTAAACAGCTTGTGGATACAAACGGCCCACCTACAAAAACAAACACATTTAGTTTAATGAAAATGTTCTTCCTGCTGAAAGCAAATTTTATATTTACATGACTCAACAAATTCAGAATAACACTGCCATCATATTGCACTAAACAGCACAGCAATTGAGGTATCCAGGGAAGCCAGTAGGAGGGTGGAACCCCAACTACATACTTCTCCAGAGTACCCATTAATGTATTGCTTGCATTGTCGTACGATAAGAACCACAATACTTTGGCTAAATATTTTCGAGTCTTGCTTTCGCTCTGGTGACGACAGGCATGTAAATAACACGTGAGTGCACTGACTCCCAAGGCAATTTGTTTGTCACGCAAGAACATTTGTTCCATAAAATCACCCCACATGGCCCAAGCCTTAGTAAGACCATCGTGTAATTGAACAGCGGCACTAAATGCCTTGCCAGCTTCTTCCGAACGTCCAATTTTAGCCAGCAACAAGCCTTTCAAGGCATAGAATTCCGCATTCATTTCAGCAGTGAAATATTTAAGATTTGTCGACTCTATAACCTCCAAAGCTTCGTTTAGATCATTACGACCCGCTGATGAAGCTGTTTGTATATAACATTTAACCTGTTGACGTATTTTCTAAAATAAAACAAATTTTGAGATTATTTATATTTTCGTTTGAATGGAAGTCTGTTGTATGTAATACCTGGAAACAATCTACAATGGGAACCGAAGGTATGGTATATATACGCGATAAGGTTTCCTGACAAACACCCGTCAAGTTATGTTTCCTGGCTATTTTACCAAAATAAATAATAGCCTGCGCCGATGCATGCACGCCCAACATGGTATTTCCTTGATCGGATTGTTGTTCGAGATGTTGTGTAATAATCTGATAATGATGTTGGCGCCAAGTGAAAATATCTGACCAATGTGAAAGATCATCTGCTATAACCGGCAAACGGTTACGCCAAGTTTTTACAATTGCCTTCATGTCATGCAGTGAAGTATTACGAGATTGCAATAGACCCTGATGTATCTGACTGGCCTCGTGCAGTTCGATGATTTGTTGGGCAGCCTGCAAGTATTGTAAATGTATATGCGATACAATATGCGGCAATCTGCCCCATTCTCGAATACAGAGTCCCGACGATATTTCTACATATTTTTCCACATTCGCTAATTGTCGCTCTTCGGGATGAAGTATGGCCAAAAAGCCTTTGTATAGATTAACCTTGTAGCCAAACTGTTTCGAATAGGCCTGTTCTATTTTAAGTAAAGCTTTCTTCATAAGACTCCAATCGGGCACACGCCAAGCGCTCTCCATAATAAGAACTTCATGTTGCTCGCGATTGGTCTGAGCATAGTCGAGCAATATATCCCATTGATTAAGTTCTTTGGCACAACGTATCCAATGATTTTCCCACAACATTATTTCACTGTTCATATTGGAGTTACAAATTCCATTCGTTAAGTCCTCCTTAAATTTCGACATTGCCAAGTCATAGGCGCCCTGGGCCTCTTCAAAGAAGCCCATTTGTTCATAAGAAATGGCAACATTTGTTTCCGTATATTGAGCATATTTCATCCATAAACCTGCCCACAAATCCTCCTCATGCATGGCCGAATACATTTGCGACAAAGAGTCGTGAACAGTTGTTTGATTGCCATTGGAGTCTTGCTGTTGGTCATTATAGTCCATTAAGGAGGCGGCATTATTAATATTTTGTTTGGCCACCATCTCCTCCAACACTAGAGTCATACGATGCCACAGATTGTGGGCTTTTCCCAAGTATGTACACAGGTTGGGGGGAATGTAAATTTTGGGATTACATTGAGTCAAACCCTCTACAAACGTATTTATAGCACTGGGGGAACAATCTTTTTGTATGATATTTGTTCCGGAAGACAAGAAGGGTATGACCTCTTTGACAATAGTATGCTGTTGATCACTGCTAAATATTGACCATATGCGTGGGAATATCGACAGCCAAACACTC